GTTAATGGATGTAGCTCCTTTAGTCGTTTCATCTAGAAAGAAAGAACAGATAAACTCTGAGCCAGTTTTCAAGGTTAGAGTCTGAAAGAGAGCACATAGAGTTAGTCACAGTAGAAGCTCAGTCAATAGCTATGTCTAGGAGAAAAAATTATGTTAAACACTGAAAGACAGGGCCTAGTGTCTTTTAAAATGCTTAAAATACACATATGCCCCTTTTCCACGGGCTGCATTTAGCCTGACTCCACTTCACTTGGCCCGCTTTGCGAGCATTTCCATTACTGTTTTTTCTGTACCAGTACCTACATTTTCTTGCTCCTGAACAGGTATGATTAGGGCTGAGTAGGGAATACATGTGACGTGAACAGACTGCTGTTCACTGATTGGCCATGGGACCAAAGAAATGAGAAGGATTTCCCGAGATAGTGCAGGGAAAGGTTAAAAAAGCTCAATAGCAAATACAATAATAAGGACCACAATGGCCAGATCAGGTCAATTTGAAATATAATTTTACTATTTACAAATTATAAACCATGCCTGCTGGAAGAAAAAAACAAGGACACATCAGCTTTCTAATTACATGTAGTACTGTGGATAATAACATCCTAAATCAGCAGATCACACATAAAATCCGTTGTTCAGATGCACAAACATTATGCCCAAAACAAACAAACAATGGCGCCATGAAACACACCATGAGTGTTTGGTTGGGAAATTTATTGATGCTCCTTAAACGAACCAGCCTCTGGAGGAGGAGGGAGCAGGCGGAGAGCAGCTGTCCATAATCAGACTTCCTGCATTGGGTCAAATGGGAGGAAGACTCAGATGGATCCGTGGAGCACAAATATCCAGACACCTAGTCCAGGCAGCAGCATCTCTCCTCTGTGCTTCTCCTGGCACACCCCTCACATCAGAACCTTCCTGCCTTATTTTATAAGTTCTGGCAGGGTTATTTGACAGATATTATTGCAGATATTATAATTTTTTTTATAATTTGTTTTATGGCTGCATGATGGTGCAGTTGGTTGCACCTTCTTCTTGCAGCAAGAAGGTCCTGGGTTCGATTCCCGGCCGGGGGTCTTTCTGCATGGAGTTTGCATGTTCTCCCCGTGCATGCATGGGTTCTCTTCGGATAATCCGGCTTCCTCTCACAGTCCAAAAACATGACTGTTAGGTTGATTGGTCTTTCTAAAATTGCCCTTGGGTGTGAATGGATGTGTGTGTGGTCATTTGTCCTGTGTGTCTCTGGGTTGCCCCATCTTGACTGGTGACCTGTCCAGGGTGTACCCCGCCTCTCGCCCGTAGACTGCTGGAGATAGGCACCAGCTCCCCCAAGACCCTGTACAGAAGAAGCGGGTATAGAAAATGGATGGATTGATGGGTTGTTTTTTCTATCGTTTCACACAGATTAGGCTTATATGCACACAGATCAGCTGTCATTGAATGTTTTTTAAAATGCAATTCTACCAAATACTAAGGAAAAGTATGTAAATTTCAAAATTTGAAAGAAAGACTTTCTCTCTGATTATTCATTTAGCAACTACAAAAACTTCTGACTGAGCTTTATGTTGTACCAGTTTTCTACTACAACTGTCACTGTCGGTCTCTTTTGTTCCTTTGCTTTAGCATCAGAATGTAGAGCCAGTGCTGATGGCATATGACAGACCCTCCAACAAATTGCTGGCGTTCCTGGCTAAACATTACAGTCTGATGCAGAGCGTTCCTCAGGTAAGACCTGTGAAATCTGTCTGTGAGCAGGCACGTGCAGAGGGGGCTGGAGCGCTTGCCCTATTTGCTCCTTGCCTCAAAGTGCCCTTTTGGTCAAAATATTTATTTATTTATTCCCATAAGCCTTCCTCTGACACCTAAACATGTATTAATAATTCTTTTTAATGTTATTTTGTAAGAGAGATGACACGACAACGACCCCAGTCACCTTGTTACTTTTAACTTTTTGCCCGTGACGCACTCGCAACTACTGCCCCTCGCACATTGAGACTGAGAAGCACACTGTGTAGCCCAGTATATGTCGCTTTTGGTCCAAGACAGTTGTTGGTCAATAAATTGGTTAATAAGTGAAATTATAAGAGCAGCATACTTGTCAAACAATGGGAAAACTTTGTATTGTTTCTGCTTCATCACCAATGGCGGAGCAGTCTTAGCAGAGAGGGGCTGAAACACAACACACATGCAAGGGGAGAAAAGAAGAGGGCTCTGCGCTCTATGAGCGGGACGAGACAGGTGAGGAGAAGCTATTATTATGCAACACGTAGGTAATATGTGTCAACAACTCATTTTAATTTTCATCGTCTGCCGTTTCATGTTAAAGTTTGAAGCAACTGTGCTGTTCTGAATGGACCTTCTTCACCTCCACTGTAAGTACAGAACATCCAGGCTGCTGTATTTATTATTAGGGCTTTTATTGCAGTACAAAAAAATTGCATTGTTCCCCTCTGTTTATATTTGTAACAGTGTAATTGTGTAAAAACTCAATTAGTTCGATGGTCTTGCTCTCTAATCTACATCTTTTGGTTATATGCAGGTTTGAAGATCTCAATACTTCCCTATGATGAAAGGAGTCCTGCAAAGTAAAATTCTCATCACAATAAAATATTTAACACACATATGTATGGTGTTGTGTTCTATTTTATAGTTTTTACTAGATTTGATTCAATTGTGTATCTCCATGCTTACTGTTTGAAGAACATCAAGGTACATTGAACTGTAAAAGCTGGGTGAGAGTCTTGCTAATATTCCCCCCTAGAATCTGGTTATACAGTATGTGCCCTTTTTTACTTTAAACACCTACCCTTAGTGGTCACTGCACGGCCCTGTCTGGAAGTATTTCTTTTCTGGGTTTTAACATTTCTCAGAAGACCATAGAAGATGAGATATAGGTTACTTTCACAAGACTTTGAGTTGTCGTTCCACATAGTGTGGTTATATTTAAGCCCTTCACTCTTTCTTCTTCCATTTTAAAGCTTCTGATTTTGTTTGAAAATAATCATTTTTATCATAAAAGATAATATTTTGCAAACTCAAGGAAGCAAATGATGAGAAATTTTTAATACTGTGCGACTTTTTGTCATTCTTTAAACTTTCCAAACACAAAAAAACCTTTACATTATTGTTAGCCTCATAGCATAATTGGCTAAGTTGTATTTGCCAAAATTGAACTTAGGCAATTATAAGCCATGAGGCTAAGGATATATAAGAAAAGATAGACTTTATCTTTATTGATCCTGCAGCTGCATGGGAAATGCATTCAATTCAGAGAAGTAGGTAAAGATGGAAAATGCAATAAAGCAATAGGTTATGTATAAAATAACTATCAAAATGAGATCACTAGGCAATAGAAATAAATAAACATAAGGCTGTAAATAACATTGCTTTTTTCCATGCAAGGTATGATGTGATATTTGTGTGAAAGAACCACCACAGGTATTACTGTGTTTGTGTAGTTATCTTTTGGCATGACTCCTGGAGCTTTTCTTTAATATTTCCTACTGAAAAAAACACTCACAATGATATTGCAGCTGTGATATAGATATCTATACATAAACCATTTTTTGCTTTACCTAATTTAATTGTGTATACAGCTTTTCAGCTGCTTTATTCTGTCCCAACACTGTAAGCAGGGCTTATGATTAGATACGCTGCAATGGGAGTTTCAGACAACGGTACATCTGATTCTGCATGCAGACTAAAATTAAAACTTAATTTTTCTGTTGTGAGGCCATTGAAGAAGTGGACTAGCGAGGCTGTGACAGCTGACCGATTGGATAGACTGTTTTTTTCAGGACTGCTACCAACAGTACACTAATGCTGGGATGTCATACATTGGTTTCTGTAAGGATACCAGTTCGGTTATTATTTTAACAAGACCTGGTTCACAGCCCAACCCAGAAGTGTAAAATTGGAAAAGCCAGAATTGTTTCAAAGTGGAGTCAGACAGATATAAAGAGTCTCAGTGCAGATTTAGCAACGGAGTGTGAGAAGCTAAACAAAATTTACAATAAAGTTGTAGTCTAACAACTCTGCTCTTGCCTGGAAAGGCTGTTGACAGAAAACCTGAAGCCTGGAGCTTCCTATTTAGCCAACAATGTAAAGCTGGCCGACAGCCTAAATGCCATCTACTGTCATTTTCATAGCTTCGGTCTCTTATGCCCACTACAGACCTGTGCCGTCCCACTGCTACCTGCCACCCCTTACTGGAAAAATGACTGGACTTAGTGACTAAAGACTTCTACCCTTTTCTTGCACCTCCACAATCTGTTTATCTCCTGAAATTCTCATTGGGTTCATCTTAAAATGCATGAGTTGTAGATATTATCAACAAATAACAGTGGATATGATAGTGGACTTCAGTAAGAAGTATTTAAAGCCTCATATGCTCCTATCTTTCTCATTAACTCACCAAGGGAGCCTTTTGAATCCTTTTTTGAATCCTACCATGAACCATCATCATCCTGATCCTCAGGTGGGAACTTCTTATCAGCTTTCTTGTATTTTCTGTGCCAGTTGAAGAAATTTATCATGCTGAAGGAAATCATTGTGCACTTCCATTGAGTTCATCCTCTTATCATGCTGTCTTGTACCTTGCTGCCAAGTCGATCTGTAGTGTAGGAGTTCAGCTGCAATTTGCTTTACCTACATGATCTGTCTGTCTCTAAGACTTTGTTGCAATCAGGAAAAATTGTGGTCTTTCCATCCTAGCTGCACTGTTTAAAGCATCTTAAAACCCAGCCCAAGAGAAAACCACATATACTCTAAGGTTTTACACTGAAACCGATAATTTATCAAAAAGGGTCAGAATTTGACGTCCACAACATGAAAGCATGGATCCATCCTGCCTTGTATCAACGGTTCTGGCTGGTGGTGTTGGTGTAATGGTGTGGGGGATATTTTCTTGGCCACAGCCTACCTGAGTATTGTTGCTGACCATGTCCATCCCGCTTTATGACCACAGTGTACGCATCTTCTGATGGTCACTTCCAGCAAGATAACGCACCATGTCATAAAGCAAGAATCATCTCAGACTGGTTTCTTGAACATGACAATGAGTTCACTGGACTAAAATGGCCTCCCCAGTCACCAGATCTCAATCCAATAGAGCACCTTTAGGATGTGGTGGAACAGGAGATTTGCGTCATGGATATGCAGCCGACAAATCTGCAGCATTTGTGTGATGCTATCATGTCAATCTGGACCAAAGTCTCTGAGGAATGTTTCCAGTACCTTGTTGAATTTATGCCACAAAGGATTAAGGGAGTTCTAAAGGCAAAAGGGGGTCCAACCCGGTACTGGCAAGGTGTACTTAATAAAATGGCCGGTGAGTGTACAGCTCATATTTTCTTATTAAACTCATCTATGCATGAGCCACGGGTTTGATAAACACAACTAATTAACATATTCTTCTTATCTATTACTCTCCATTTTGCCCCACACGCTATTTAACATTAACACAGTCGAGAAATATATGCTTTTTTAGTGGGCAATATTCATAGAATTATAGTAACAACTTCTTCAAGTCAATCTAAGGGGCAGAAATCAAAATATATTTCAGTAGTAGTTAAGTGCAGTAAACAAACCAGGCAATAGAGTTTACATATTTTCCTACTAAATTAAATCACAAAGTGCAGAACAAGGTAATAAACCTGTAATCAGATATAATGCGCAGTATTTCACCTAACACAGTACAAAATCTGCCCAAAGTCAATATTATGATTGTGACTGCACACTATCAGTTAGTGCTCTGCAGTTGGGCTTTTAGACACACCCAGTTTCATACAGTCAGAAACGTGTTTGTCATTAAGCCAATGCTTTGCTTTAGTTATTTTCATCTGTGAGAAGTCCGCCTCACAGAGGTATGTGGAACAAAAAATTGCCTTCACTTTCCAGCACAAGAATACACCGCACAAGTTCCCAATAGTTGCTATCCTTTGCCCTTGACTGCAGTTCACTGTCACTTTAGAGTTAGATTATCTTCATCTCCACTTCATGGGTGTGGCGCTGGTGGTGTAGTGGTTGAGCATGCGACCAATATACAGAGGCTTCAGTCCTCGATGCGGCTATCCTGAGTTCGAGTC